TGATAAACTTTCAGTACCTGCATTGCAAACCATAATGCCCAAAAGGAGAAAGAGACATGGAGATAGAGAGCAAGAGAGAGAGAGAGATAAAGAAGGAAAATGCCTGCCATAGACACAGGGTGGGGAGAGGGTGGCAGGGGGGAAACTAGGGACACTGTTGCTGGGAAATGTACACTGGTGGAGTGATGGGTTTTGGAACACCCTATGACTGAAACCCACCCATGAACAGCTTTGTAACTCTATATCTCATAGTTATTTAATATTACTTAGTGTGCTCTTTTATTTCTTGAAGTAGCGTTTTGTAGTTTTCTTTGTACAGGTCCTTTACCTCCTTAGTTAAGCTGATTCTGATGTAAATAATTTTCCGAGGCAAAATTGTGAATAGGATTGCTTTCTAACATCACTTTCTTATCTTTCATATTATAATTTTATGCATAATGATGTGTGATGGATGCTTGTAATTTCTACTTATTGTCACTGTCACTGTCCATGTTTGCATATAGGAAAACCATGGACTTTGGGGTATTGATTTTGTAACCTGGAACTCTCCTATACAAATCTTTTGTTTCTAGGAGCTTATTGGTAGAGACTTTAAGGGTTTTCTAAGTATAGTATCATGTCATCTGCAAATAGTGAGAGCTTGACTTCTTCTTTTCCTACATGGATGCCTTTAGTATCTTTTTCTTCCCTAATTGCTATGGCAAGTACTTCCAGTACTTTATTGCGCAGAAGTGGTAAAAGTAGGCAAACTTGTCTTGTCTCTTATCTTAGAGGGAAGGCTTTTAGTTTTTCCCCATTGTGAATTGTGCTTGCTGTGGGCTTGTATTAGATGGCTTTGACTATATTGAGGAAAGTTCCTTCAACTCCCATTTTGTTGAGTTTTTTTTTTTTTTTTAATCATGAATAGGTACTGGATCTTGCCAAATGCCTTTTCTGCATCTACTGACATGATTACAATTTTTTATTTTTCTTTTATTGATATATTATGTTGATTGACTTGTGAATGTTTAACAGTCCTTGCATCCCCAAGACGAATCTTACTTGGTCATGGACACCAGGAACAAGGATAAAATCTAAGAACTCAACTATGTAAACAGAAGGTGGCAAAAGTCCAGATAGATCCCCAAATATATCATATCCTTGTAAGCCACCAGGAGTTCAGAACTATAAAAGCAATGCTTAATTATGTAAAAGACCTTTGAACAGGGCTGGAGTGATAATACAGCGGGTAGGGTGTTTGCCTTGCATGCAGATGACCTGGGTTCGAATCCCAGTCAGCATCCCATATGGCTCCCCAAGCACCTCAGGAGTAATTTCTGAGGGCATGAGTCAGAAGTAACCCCCTGTGCATCACTGGGTGTGACCCAAAAAGCAAAAAAAAAGGACTTTGAGCAGAGACTCAATAAACTTGAGGAAAACATGATGAAAAATTTAAAGAACTCATTCATACGGATTCAACTATGCAAAATCGTATGAACATTTCTCAGAAAGGTAAGAATTAAGCTGCTATATGATGCAGCAATTCCATTTCTTGGAACCTACCCCAGACACAAAAAATCTATCCATAAGGATATATGCACAGCATTGTTCACTGCAGCAATTAGCACAATACATAGGATACAGAATTAAACCAGGTTCCTAAGCACAGATGAGTAAATAATGAGGACATGGTATAGGTACACAATGAAACACCATTAGCCAAAAAGAATGATAAAACCATGCAAATTGCTGCAAATTGAATGGAACTGGAAGATATAATTTTAATTGAAGAAAGAAACACAAATCCTGGATAATCTCAATGATCTGTCATGTACAAAATAACAGGACAATGCAAAGTACTCAAGTGGGAATACCTATATTACATAAGCCAAGATTACAGAGACTAGAAGGAAGGGGAAGTAAGAAGAGGCATACAGAAGGACATAGGAAGAGAGGTTAGAGGCTTTGGGTACATTGGTAATATAGGAGTATGGTATATGAATATGTCTAAACAGAGTCAACAATGCTATTACCATGAGACCCAAACCACAGTAAGAAAACTTAGAAATATACCTGTCTGTGCTGTAGCGATAGCACAGCGGGTAGGGCATTTGCCTTGCGTGCGGCCAACCCAGGTTCAATTCCCAGCATCCCATATGGTCTCCTGAGCACTGCCAGGAGTAATCCCAGAGTGCAGAACCAGGAGTAACCCCTGTGCATTGCTGGGTGTGACCAAAAAAGAAAAAAAAGAAGTGTACCTGTCAGGGAAGCATGTGGGTGTGGGGTAGAAGGGAACCTGGAGAAATTTGTGAAGGGAAGTGAATCATGGTGGTAGAATTGGGGTTAGGACACTGTATGGCTAAAATTCTACTATGAATTACTTTGCAAATCATGGTGCCTGAGCAATAAAATAAACAAATAAATAAAATAAATTTAAAAGAAATAAAAGATATTAAAGATCACAAGTCTCAACAAGTCTCAGTAGCAGAACTAAAAATAAAAACACTGATCTTTAAGATATAGTACATAAGCTAATCAAAAGAACAAAATAGAGATAGAGAAAAAAATGAGAGAACATAATATTTGGACCATATTAGTAGAAACAACTTCAGAATCATAGGAATTCCGAAATCTTGTTGAAGACATAGTAGGTGAAAATATCCCCAATTTAAAGAGGGAAACTGGAACAAAAGAGATCCAAAGAGTGTTAATCAAAATAAACCCAAACAGAATTTTAGTGGGGATTTCTCTGAATCCATACAATTCTTCAGGTGAGATGGTCATTTGGGCAATGGTAATTCTTACAGTCAATTAACATGGGATATTTTTACATTTCCTGGTGTCCTCTTTTATTTGATTCATTATTGATTTATAATTTTCCATGTATAAGTCTTTCACATCCTTTACTAAATTGATTCCTAGGTATACATTTCTGGGCATCAACATGGTGTTATTGGCAAATACAACAAAAAAGTAAATAGGGGCTGGGGAACTAGCACAGCAGACATGGCACGTGCCTTGAATGTGACATAACCTCAGGCAATCCCCAGTACCCCATATGATCTCCAGAGCAGTGCCAGGCCTGAACCCTCAGCAAAGAGCCAGAATTACATCCTGAGCACCACCAGATACTACCCCAAAACAAAAACCAAAGAAAAAGGTAAATGAATAAATGGTATTATTTTTAAAAGTTTATGCATTGCAAAGAAACTCAGGGAAATAAATAACAAGATAATCCACTAAATGGGACAAAGTCTTTGCACACATATCAGATAATAGGCTATATCCAAAATATATGAAGCACTCACAAAGCTCAATAACATTAACAAAAAAACAGGAAGAAGAGATGGACACTTCCCTGAAGAAGCCATATGGAGGAACTGTAAGCATATGAATAAGTGGTTACCTTCACTTAGGGAAATGCAAATCAAAACAATAATGAGATATTACTTTATACCAGAGAGCATGGCATATATCAAAAAGACTAGAAGCATGTTGGCAGGTATGTGGTGAAATGAAACCCCCAATCACAGTTGGTAAGAATCTATTTGGGCCTCTATGAAAACAGTACTGAAATACTGAAATCTCTCAAAAATTAAGAATAGAAATCCCATTGGACCCAGTGATTTCAATTCCTGCCATCTACTACCAAAGCACACAACCCTAAGTTTCCTACCGAACTTACTACAAGAACTAGGATATGAAAACAACTGAAATGTTCAAGAAGACACACACAGAAAAAGAAGTTATGATACAAATATAATGGATTATTATCCAGGTGTAAAAAAATGAAATCATGTACTCTGTTGCAACATGAACAGAACTGGACGGCATCATGCTCGAGCGGGCCCAGTAACGTCTCCATTGGAGACTTTGTTGTTACTGTGTTTGGCATATCAAATACCTCGCGGGTAGCTTGCCAGGCTCTGCCGTGCGGGCGAGATACTCTTGGTAGCTTGCCCGGCTCTCCGAGAGGGGCGAAGAAATCGAACTCGGGTCGGCCATGTTGGCTGCGTGCAAGACAAATGCCCTACCGCTGTGCTATCATGTTAAGTGAAATAAGACAGAGGGGAAAGAACAATTACTGGTTGGTCTTACTCATCTGTGAATTAGAGAAAATACACAAGGGAATGGATAGCATCCAAGATTGACAAAACAGTTGATTCTGGAATAAAAAGGAGAGTGGTGAGGGGGACTGAAGATCAGACTAAAGACAGCTGTAGAGAGTTAATGGTACTTTGTTTTGGGTGGGCTATGGTAACTTTGTACATTAGAACCATATACTTGGACAGTATTTTAATCATCTTACATAAATTATAATAAAATTTAAAAAGTAAGTTTAAAATGTGCCCTCTGGGACAAAACAGAACTTGATAGGATTACGGTGAATACAGTAATTAAGCAATGAAAGACAATTACCAAATGTTTTAACCTATATATAAAATAGAAATAGTTAAATGAAGTAAACTGGTAAAAACCTAAAACATATTGCTATACTTAATGAAAACCATGCTAGTCAGATGAAACTTGAACCTAAGGTTACACTATTATAGTGAATATTATACATACAAACAGGTGTGAAGATATGTCTTAAATATCATAATATCATAAGCCAATAAAAAACTATGAATAAAAAATAGAAACAAAGAAATTAAATTCTATGAAAGTAGGTTTCTAATAAGCTTTAGAAAAATTATAAAAAAAATTATAAAGTCAAATTCTCTCACTGAAGTATTTACAATGGCATCTTTGGAGATTTATAGAAATGTGTGTAGGAAAGAAAAAGGTATGAAATAACTTATATGAATATTAATAGAATGAGCAAATGTTATGACTATATAAGAAATATAAACATATAAACATTTATATACATATAAATATTTACACTTTTATAAATTTGTTATCTGAAAAACTTAAAAAATACAGAAAAATAAAAGCACTATTCTGACAACTGTGACAACTATGTCATTTTAGTTTATAAATAAATATAAAGGACAAAAAATGAACTATATTGTGCTTACAAGTGCCTTTCATGCATGTCATTGTTGAAGAGCATAACTCAATGATCCGAACAGCAGAAGTTCCTGGTTCCTCTGATGGTACTGTCAAAATGGAAATCTAAAAACCAAAAATAAAATTAGATACAGTGTTTGATCTCATTTTCATTCTTCTATAATTAGATTGTAGTTAACTTTCAAGGCAAGTCTTTCATACTCTGATGTAAGAAAAAATATCTTATAAGGATTTTATTATTTAAGAGACTTTAAAACATGCATATGTGTGTTAAGGTATAATATCTCATTACTTATAAAATACAATATTTTCATTTTCATAGAAATCATAAACAATGGACTTTTTTTTATTAGTGAAACACCATGAGGTACAGTTGTAGACTTACAAACTTTCGTGCTTGGGTTTCAGTTATACAATGATCGAGTACCCATCCCTTAAAGTCTTCATTTATATAATTTTCAAAGAATAAAGTTTTGACAACACTTCTGAACTATATACACTTCAGTATTTGAAATCAAGTTATAGTAAATCAATACTGGTTATACAAAATATCTAAAATAGGAGTTTTAAGGCAATTAAAATTAAAAAGTGCTACAAATTTCAAAGATATTATAGTAACATACAGCACTGATGATAAACTACTTGGCTTCATATTTCAAGGACTTTAAATGAATGTCAGTCTACGTTTCTCTGTGGAACCTAAACTTATACTATTAGTTCACAATCTAGTTTGCAATCTCTCATTCATAAATACTTGCCAAAATGGAAAAACCCTATTTGTACTTTTCTCTGTAAGCAAGATATTGACTGGGAATATCATATTGATGACCCAGAGAATAATGTCTACACTAAATCAAGCTCAAAAATAATATTCTCCATATTTTTCATCACTCCACTTGAGTTCCCTATGACAGACTGCCATAAAATCAAATAATTTCATTTTTTAACTTCTACCTTAAGAAACTGAAGACACTAATTCAAAAAGATACGTGCACTCTATGTTGAATGAAACACAATTTAGAATTCTAAGATATTAAAATAACCAAAAGTGCCTTCATTCTGCAGATGAATGAAAAGAAGATGCAAACTATATATGTGCAGAGGACTATTTACTACTCATATGTAATATAGCTAAAAGCCAATAAAAAGCCAAACCTTTGCCAGTTGTAAAAAAATGGAAGGAGACTGAGTGTTTTATTCTAAGCCAAGTAAGTCAGAAAGTCAGAAAGAAAAAAGATAATACCACATGCTTCTGTAAAGAAACAAAAGCACATATATATATGTATATATATATACACACATATTATAAACACAAATAAACTATTAGAGTATAATAAAAGGAACGTGTTTACTGTGGGGAAAGGGATTAGAGGGTATGTGGAAAGGGTGATAAGGTGTCAAATGGATGATGATGAATAGATACAATACCTTTGGTATGTTGCAGTATATACAAGTGTGGAGACATGAAGCTTCTGAAATTTATAAAATGATTTAAGTCAATAATATCCCAAATTAGATTAAATAAATACATTGTTGGGCATGAACTGAGGGTATGGAGTTTGCCATATACACGGGCTGACCAGGGTTTGATCCCAGCAGCCATTAGGATCTCCTGAGTACTCACAGGAGCAACTGATCCTTGTGCATGCAGCTTGGAACCAGCCCAGAGAAATGACAAGTGTGGCCCAATAACAAACAAGAAAACAAAACAAATAAAATTAAAAAAAACAAAAACATTGTCAGGATACAGAGATAGAAGAAAGAAGCTATCATGGAGACAGAAAGAGTAAGAGAGTGAGAGAGAGATAGAGAGATTTATATAATACTGGTAGTCAACAATACCTCAATTTGTGTCTGTTATATATTGGATTTGCTCGAGCAAATGGGCTGGAGCGATAGCACAGCGGGTAGGGCGTTCGCCTTACAAGCGGCCAACATGGCCGACCCGAGTTCGATTTCTCGCCCCTCTCGGAGAGCCCGGCAAGCTACCGAGAGTATTCGATATGCCAAACACAGTAACAACAAAGTCTCCAATGGAGACGTTACTGGGCCCGCTCGAGCAAATCGACGATCAACGGGAGGGCCTTTACCTTTATCTTATATATTGGATACAAGTCCTTTATCTGATAGCTGATATGTAAATATTACTGAATAAACGCCATCTCCTTCAAAATTCCCATAAAATTATTCAAAGACTTAAAACAGAATCTACTACAATTTGTACAGAAAAAGGTCTGAGTTTATTTATTTACATGTAGCTGCCTAGTTTTCCCAGCACTATTTGTTGAAGAGGCTTTCCTTGTTCCACTTCATACTTCTTGTTACAAAGATTAATCTGTTACAAAGATTAAATGTTCATAAATTTAAGGGTCTGTGTCAGACTGTTCGATTGGTCTGCAGGTCTGTTTTGTTTCCAATACCATGCTGTTTTGTTTTCCAGAAAGGCCGGACCAGTCAGCATTCCCATCAACAATGAAAGAGAATCCCTTGATCCCCACATCCGTGCCAGCACTGGCAGTGATAGCACAGTGGTAGGGCATCTGCCTTGCACGCGGTCAGCCCAGCTGACCTGGGTTCAATTCCTCCACCCCTCTCAGAGAGGCATGCAAACTACCGGCAAGCTACCAAGAGTATCACGCGCCACTCCCCCCGCCCCACCCCATGGCAAAGCCTGGCAAGCTACCCGGCTACCCGTGACATATTCGATATGCTAAAACACAGTAACAACAAGTCTCACAAAGGAGACATTACTAGGTCTGCTCGAGCAAATGGATGAACAACGGGAGGACAGTGTTACAGAGCTACCACACTGTTTTTATTACTACTGCATTGAAGAACCGTTTGATGTTGGAGAAGGTGATGCCTCCCATCTTCTTTCTCCCAAGGACTGCTTTGGTATTCATGGGGTTTATTGCTCCATATGAATTTCAGGAGTATTCGGTCTATTTCTTTGAAAATGTCATGGATATCCTTATAGGGAGCACAGTGAATCTGTATCATGCCTTGGGGAGTATTGCCATTTTTATAATCAGATCAAAATGTACTAAAGATCTCAATATCAGACCTGAATCCATAAGGTACATAAAAGAAAACATAGGCAAAATACTCTATGACATTGAAGCTCACGGCATCTTCAAAGATGAAACATCACTGAACAAAAACAAGTGGAAGCAAAGATACACAAATGGGGGTACATGAAACTATGAAGCTTCTGCACCTCAAAAGAAACAGTGTCTAAGATACAAAGACAGCTCACAGAATGGGAAACATTTATTACCCAATACCCACATGACAAAGGATTAATATCAAAGTTATATAGGACACTGGTAGACCCTCACAAGAAAAATAACATCCAACCCCATAAAAATTGGAAAGAGGAATTGAACAGAAACTTCATCAAAAAGATATTTGAATGGCCAAAAGGCACATAAAAACGCTCTATATCACTAATCACTAGGGAGATGCAAATCAAAACAATAAGATATCATCTTACACCACAGAGACTGGCACACATCAAAAAGAACAAGAACAACCAGTGCTGGCGCGGATGTGGGGATCAAGGGACTCTCTCTTATTGTTGATGGAAATGCTGAGTGGTCCAGCCTTTCTGGAAAATAAGGGTATTGCTCAAAAAACTAGAAACTGAACTTCCATATGATTCAACAATACTGTTTCTGGAAATATACCTTAAAGGCGGGGCAAAAACACACAGCAGAAATACCATCTGAACTTCTATGTTCATTGCAACACTACTCACATAGCCAGAATCTGGAAACAATCAGAGTGCCCAAGAACAGATAACTAAATAAACATCATATATTTACTCAATGGGATAGTATGCAGCTGTTAGAAATAATGAAGTCATGAAATTTTCTTATAAATGGATTGACATGAAGAGAATCATGCTAAATAAGATGAGTCAGAAGGAGAGGAGGTATAAAATGAGTGCAGTCATTTATGGTATAGAAATATAAAATAAGAGACCAATATCCAAGGGTAAACAGGGGACAGGACAGGTAAATGGTTGGAAGCTTGCCACAAGACTGTGTTGGGGGTGAAGTGTATAAAGGGATATACCTGATAACCTTTCATTATCTGTATATTGCAAACCATAAGGCCCAAAAGGAAAGAGAGAGAAAGGAAAGAGAGAGTGCGGGGATAGAGAGGAGAGACAGAGAGAGAGAGAAAGAGAGAGGGAGAGAGAGAGAGAAGAAAAGTGCCCACCACAGTGGCAGGCAGTGGGAGGTGTGGGGGCGGTAGGGAAACCGGGACCATTGGTGGTGGGAAAAGTATACAGGTGAATGGACAGGTGTGGGAACATTACATGACTGAAATCCATCTTGAACAACTTTGTAAATGTGTGTATCACTGCGATTCAATTAAAAAATAAACAATGGGAAAATTTTAAATAAAATCAAATACAAAATATGTATGGAATCATAAAACTTCTCACATAGTGAAAGCAATTATAAGAAAAGAAGATAGGAGGTATAGCATTCCATGATTTATTCTTTATTTGGTTCTGGGGCTACACCCAGTGGTGTTCAGGGCTTACTCTTGGCTTTGTGCTTAGGGTTTACTCTTGGCAGAGCTCAGGGCACCATGATGTGGTGCTAAAAATAAAATCCAGGTTGTCCATGTGCATGACAAGTGACTTAATCTCTGTACTATCTCTCTAGCCCTTGCATTCCCTGATTTTTAATCATACCATCAAGCTATAGGAATCAAAACAGTCTGGAACTATAATAAAAATAGACTCTTAGACCAATGGAATGAAACAGAGAATAAAGACAGAAACCGGCGTACATAATATATATGTAGATATAGATATAGATATAGATAATTAAGTGATGGCAAAGAGGCTGAGTACAGAGTTGAACCAGAAAAACCTCTCCTCTCCAAGAAAAGTTGTTGGCAAACTGGATAGTCATATGCCCAAGAAAAACAACCCAATTCCTCACTATCTCACACAATACACAAAAGTTAATCTAGTAAGGATTAAAGACTTTGAAAGAGTTCAATCTGTGAGACCACATATGACCCTCCAAGCACATCAGAAGTAAGTCCTGAGCACAATCAGATGTGGTCTCAAAACTAAAAGCAAAACCTTAAAACAGAATGCATAAATTACACTGGAGAAAACACAGGCAGAACTCTCCATTATAAAGACATCAGTTTTCTCTAATGATTCAATTCCATTGGTGAAACAAAAACAAACAGTTGGAACACCGTCAAACTTAAGGTTTTCCACAGAAAAATTAAATATGCCTTTAAAAAGCATTAAGTGTAGTTGTGCATATAAGTTACTAATCATTATACTTCACTAACATTAATTTATACATAGCATCAAGTATATTAAATTAGCAGCACATTTTACAAATATAGAGCTGAACTAACCTGTTGATCAGAATCTGCTTTAAGTACAGATCTATCTGTAATCAGGATTGCCCTGGAAATCTGCCTGTAATGCACAAAACAAATCAGAAATTCAGATTTCATGAGTAAGTTTCGATTATGATTTATACAACAAGCAGAAGGCATTTTTTCAAATATTTAAGTTAGAAGTGCATCCCCAAACCAAGGCATAATTTAAATGTTTCTTGGCTTGTGAATGGACATTTGTGACCTGCAAACAAACCCCAGGTGAGGTAAACGGGTCGAAATTAGACCAGGACTCCCCCCAAATGAGACCTATAAGAGAACAATGATATATTGAATATATCTTTGGTTTTGTAAATATTTACTCCTTACTTGAAGGATGTGGTAATGAAAAGTGTCAATGTACTCGCACTGACCAATTTTCCTAAATTTCATCTTCATTTGGAGAGTAGATATAGGAATGCCTTACCTGTATTGCACATGTGAGCATGTGTTCTCAGAAAAGTAACTGTCTTCCACAAGGAAATGCTTAGAAATTATTCTCTGACCATACTGATCTATGATTGCTTTACATCTATGAAAACAAAATAGTATAGCAAAAAGTTCTATTAATGATTAAAGAATTTAGAACATAAATTGCTACCAATTTTGAATCTAAATCAATTTCTTATAAAAATAATTTCATGCTTTGGAGATTATAATTACACTACATTATAGAATACATATCCTTATTAATATTTTAAGTCTTTTAAACTATATTGTATATGTAGAATAGGAATTAAATATTTATTTTGATGCCATTAATAACAGGCTTTATAGAGTAAGTAAAAGCTTTAATTGTACGGAAAAGCAGCCTTGTTTTCCTTAAAAGAAAGGAAAAAAGATATAGAGGGAGAAAAAAGGTGGTAAAATATCCTGCTATATCACTCACAACCTGTAAAAAACACTAACTGCTTTCCATTTTTCTGTTCAACTATTTGTTTTATTTATTATATTATTATTATTATTATTATTATTATTATTATTATTATTTTGCTTTTTGGGTCACACGTGGTGATGCACAGGGGTTATTCCTGGCTCATGCACTCAGGAATCACTCCTGGAGTGCTCAGGGGACCATGGGATGCTGGGAATGGAACCTGGGTCGGCTGCGTGCAAGGCAAATGCCCTACCCGCTGCGCTCCAGCTCCCAATTTATGTTTTAAATAGATGCTTCTTTTAACATATATTTCCACTTTCCTTCAAAGGATGATCAGAGGAAGGTTTGGTTCAAATGCTGAATCAAGTAAGGAAAACAAAGACATTATTTGAGTCTCTGTCATCTGTGGTGGGGCTTTGTGGTAGCTATACCTTTTGTCACAGTAGATACTGGTTTCCGGGGTTATTAGAAAGAATTTCTAGGGATCAGTCTAAAGCAATGTACAGGAACAAAGGGATTAGGAAGTTCAATTATGTAAAAATAAAATACCAATAAACATGCCAATCTATGCTGAGATTTCAAACGAAGAAGAAAAGGAGAAGAAAGCAAATCAGAATCACACCTGGGGGACCTTTTTAAAGTATAAGTACCCCTGGAGATTCTGATAAGCTCCCAAATCCCAGGGAATAACCACTGCCACTGTCACTGTAACTGTTGTAACTGTTGTATCTTTAAACTGTTCTAAGTGAAGGAAATGCAAATTTTGAGGGTATGGCTCATTGGTAGAGTATGTGCCTCTCATGTGTGAGGCCCTGGTTTCCATCCCTAGCACCACAAAAAGAAAAATTAGGATCTAGTACAGAAAAAAATACTAATTTCTCCAGAATCATGGTCACATATCCCCACTGATTGTAGTAGATGATAATAATACAACTCACCTGATATCACATGAAATACTAAGGCTTTAGGCCTAAGCAAAGTTGTTCAAAACAAGACACATTTAAACAAGTAATAAGATTTGTTTTCTCATTAGATACTTGACTTATTGGGTCTGATTGGGACAATAATGAATAAAGGAATATTGATTTGGAATCTAGACGTAGACATAACATAAATAATAATATAAAAATGAGATGACATTCGGAGTAATGATAAACAGCAAAACAAAACAGTGCTGCCAGAAACATTAAAATATACACTTTCCTACCACTCCCACATGAACATAGGGCAACCATTAAAGATTAACAGTGTTTAAATTTAGTTGAAGGCCCATCTGGGATTCATATGAATTGTATACTGAGCAGAAATTGACAGGATTTCCAATTACGCCAATAAGAAACATTGAAGGTAAAAAGAACATTTTTAGAGCTGAGTTTTTTAAATCAACAAATCACAACAATGATTAAGTTCTTGGTTCAATGACATGAAAACATAAATAGCAAAACAGTAATGAAGAAAACACTCAGTAAAATAAAAAATCTATGTAGATTTTGCTTAGAAGAGAAATAACATTAAAACATAGTTGATCTTACAATTTTCAAAATTAGTATCTCAACTAAATTTAAGTAAGAAATATTAATCACATGTGATCTAGCACTGAAGCACTGTCCTCCCATTGTTCATCGATTTGCTTGAGCGGGCACCAGTAACGTCTCCATTGTGAGACTTGTTATTACTGTGTTTGGCATATTGAATACGCCATGGGGAGCTTGCCAGGATCTGCTGCGCAGGCAGCATACTCTTGGTAGCTTGCCGGGCTCTCTGAGAGAGACGAAGAAATTGAACCTGGGTTGGCTGCCTGCAAGGCATATGCCCTACCTGCCGTGTAATCAAAATAACATACCCTCAAAATGGAAAACACCTTCAAAATAGAAAAAATCTAGTCTTTACAGAACAACCTAGCATACTTTGGTGGGTACTTCTTTTGAACAAATCAAGTTTAATTTAGGAAAATAACTTTTTAGAAAAATAATCACTTTCATTAATGGTCACTGGAAAAGGAAATCCTGTGTTTATACAGATAAAATTTAAAAAGTGACTATCAAAATGAAAGCATCAAAATTGTAAAAATTTTATCCTTCCCATACCTCTTTTCTCACAGGATTTGTGAGCTCTGGCTTGCATTTTACTAATTTCTATTATTATTGTTGATTTTGGGCCACTCCTGGAAGTGCTCAGGGCTTACTCCTGGTTGAGCTCAGAGATTACTTCCGGTGGCCCGAGGAGACCTATGGGATGCCGGGGACTGCACCTGTATTGGATGTGTGCAAGGCAAATGCTCTACCTACTGTATTATCTCTCTGGACTCACTGATTTCAATTTTTGTAATAGTTATTACTCTTCCCTTCCTAGGGAACCTCACTATGTTAAGTTAACTTAGTGCTCTTATAGAAGGCGTGGTCTTCTTTATAGAACTTCTCCCATTCCACGTAGAACTTCTCAATTTCTTTTCCATCATAATTGGATGTTGGTGCATAGACAACAAAGATAAAAACTACTGGCAGTGAGCCACATCTATTCAAGTGTAATCGTCTGATAAGAGTTGTTAGGCATTCGAATGAATCAGTGTTTATGGCCAAGTTCATGTGATAAGGGCACCGACACCACCGACGCCTCTTTTGTCACATGTTCCAAGGAACAGTTCTTCCCCAGTGTTGAAAACGGCGTGTTGTTTTTGATGCCTTCTCGTCTCGGTCAGACCAATGATGTCGTACTTCATCTTTCATGCTTGCACCATCAGGTCCTCGATGAATGTATCCAATGCCAGCTTACGTGCATTTAAAGTACATACAGTCATTTTTATCTTTCTTTGTTGTGGCAGCCTAGGTCGGCCCTGAGATTTTATCAGCCTCTCCTTCCTCATCCTTCTTAACACTGCCATATTGGTGGTTAATTCAAGGTCAGAGGAATGAGACCCATTGTATTTACTGGTTTAGGGATATCTAAGACACCACGGTTAGCTTGCCAGGCTCTGCCATGTGGGCGGAACACTCTCGGTAGCTTGCTAGGCTCTCGAGAAGGATAAAGGCTTTTAGGGCAGCCTCTAATCGTCCTTGCAGGTGTTCCAATGGTTCAAACCATATTTCAACACAATCAAATATGGTGTAGTAATCTTGTATTAAGTGTTTTATGATGTGTGGTGAGGCTGCAATTAGGCAGCCTGGTTCGTAATACGTCCTGGAGTGTGTCAGTGGCTGGGTAGTGGAGGTAGTGGAGATAATGGAGTCTGCTGGGCTGCTGGGAGTAGGCTGAGGATCTCTGTTCCCGGGTCCATTGAGCCTGGAGTCCAAGGCCACAGAGTTCCGATTCCCTTGCTCTGTGGGGATTCACTCGTGCGTGAGTCTCGGCCTGAGTGTCTGGAAAGAGTCCTGGACCATGTCCGTGGCTGGATAGTGGAGGTAGTGGAGGTCATGAAGTATACTCCCAGTATACTTCAAGTATACTCTCAGATTTTACATGTTTGGGTTGAATTATTAAAAATCCTTTGTATTTAACTTTTTTCTGTAACATTCCAAAATAAATTATCTTGAAATATTTTATATGTCCCAAAGCAGGTGCTTCTTGCATGTTGGGTTATATTCCATCCCAGTGAAAAGTTGGGCAGAAAAGTATTAATAATAACTTATATGATTCTGCTTTTAGTGGAATTCAAAATACTATTCATTATACTATTTTCATTGTTCTTACTTTTGGGGACATACTTGGCTGTGCTTGGGATGGGAAATCAGGGCCAAAGTGTGTGGTATCTGGGGTCCACATGGTGGCCACATATGCAAGACACTTGAGCCACAGTCATTTTGGATTATGTATAAGAATCCATTGCTGCAAAATGTATTCTGTGTTAAGTTTACTTTCTTAATTAGGATTTTATGATATTAAAAATATGATTTAAAAATTATGATTTTAAAAATATGATCAGTATTATAATATGTATATGGTGTTATTACTATAATTTTTGAAACTTTTAAGATGACCAAAATAAAAAATTTGTAACTTCACCAATTACCAAGTTTATAGCCAGTTTTTCCTCTTAAATATTCATTCTGTTTATTCAAATAGCCACTATAATATATAAATCTAGTATTTTTTACTCATGCTTATGTGCTTTTTCCCACAGTACTTTTTTTACAGCAAATAATTGAGAGTGGTACTAATAATAGGAAATACAGAGTGAAGGATAGGATCTTTGGAGGGGATAGACTTCACTAAAGAAAAGGTTTCACTTACTCAGTACTTTCTATTAATGTGCTAAAAGTACTTTATAAGACTTAAAACTACGTACCAAATTTATGTAATAGTAGAGAATATTTTTCTAAAGAAAATTCAGTCTGTAATAAATGATGACAAACTATTGTCCCTTCCTGGATCACAAATCTGAGATTATCAAGAAATGTGGGAGTGGAAAATGGTAGTAAAGAGGTGAACTAGCAGCAATATAAAGACACTAGTGGAGGGTCACTGTCACTGTCCTCCTGTTGTTCATCGATTTTCTCGAGCGGGCCCAGTAACATCTCCCTTGTGATACTTTGTTGTTACTGTGTGTGACATATCGAATACCTCACGGGTAGCTTGCCAGGCTTTTCCGTGCGAGCGAGATACTCTCAGTAGCTTGCTGGGCTCTCTGAGAGAGGCGGAAGAATCGAACTTGGGTCGGCCATGTTGGCTGCATGCAAGGCAAACGCCCTACCCGCTGTGCTATCACTCCAGCCCAAGTGGAGGGGTACTGGGTATTTTGACAGTGGTGAGGTGCAGCAAGATCATTAATGTGCTATAAGTCCATGAATATTAATACTACAGCAAACAGGATACCTTAACTACACAATTTTTTACATAGAAAAATCACTGTGTAAAGATTATACGTCCTAGAGCACTTTTCTGCAGTTTACGCAAATAAATTAATAAAGGTTTTATGACACCAGACTTTAAACAAAAGTACTGTATCAAGGAGATGAAAATCAAAATGACTCTGAGATATCTCTATACACCAAGACAATGACTTACATGAAAGGGATCTCAAAATAAACACTAGATAACAACAGAACAGAGATTACCAAGTGGTGAAAGGGGAAGTAGTGGAGGGGGGGATAAGGGACCTGGGGACAGTGGTGGAAGATGGTGCAGTGACATAGAATGCTTAAAGCATTATTATTAACACTACTATAAACCATGCTGCCTCAACAACAGCAGCAGCAATAGCAACAATAATACATTAAAAATGCCAGAACCAGTGTATTAATGGATGTGTGGAGATAAATGAATATTCATCATTGTGGTGTGAATATAAACTGACTCAGACACTATGGAAAATCACATGGAGACTTCTCAAAATATTAAATATAGAACTAGCAATTCCAATACTAGGTCATTATCCCAATAATAGAGAAAGATTAGTTTGAAATTACATATGTATATCTATCTTCACTCCAGTGCTATTTACAATACCAAAGATCTGGGAACAATTCAATTCAAGTCAATGAGATAACTGCACAAAGAAATTGTGATGTCACATTATATATATGTGTGTGTGTGTGTGTGTGTGTGTGTGTGTGTGTGCGCGCGCGTATATATATATATGAGAAACTGAAAGTATCATCCTAATTAAAGTAACTTAGAAGGAGAAAGTCAATACTGGATGACTTCACTCACACAGGGGTTACAGAGAAATAAAGCAAGGTAAAAGACAAAACCAAATGAAACCTAAACTAGTGGGAGAGGAAGGGAGTACATTAATCAGGGAGATGGTCTACTGAACTGAGATGGATGGATGGTTATTAGTACTTTTGGTGGTGGTGCACTATAATTACATATATTTTGAAGAGGTATGAAAACATACAATCTTGTAAACAAATTTTACCTAAAGCAAGAAAAAATATTGTATAATGAAAGAAACAATCTAAATTTATATTGGAAAGCTTTAAGTTCAATAAATTATGGTGTGATCTGAACAATACTCTTTCTTTACATAACCATAAAAAGAAGTCATACAATATTGGTCAAATGATGCTGAAAAGCAAACAAAAAAGAAAAAAAACTTTATCCAATAGATCCATTTAGTTTCAGTGCAAACCATAGAAACAGAAAAATAATATTTAGTAATTTCAGACAAGATTATCTCAGTAACTAAGCAGTAAACACCAGGAAAGATAATCAAATACAAAAACAGTATAAATGCATGGTATTCATAGTTTTTAAAAAACTTGAATATACTTATTTTTAACCTAAACCAGCACATGAGTTTGATACAACTATAAAAGAATATATCCTGTAATAATAAGGGAGTAGAGTCTATAACAACAGACAACCTAAAAACTTATTAAAGATTTTTCTCTTGGAGTGACATGCATTATAAACTGAGATTAATCTGATATTTTTTTGTGTGATTTCCATTTATAAAATATGCAGTAACAGAGAGTTTTGATGTGATCTGTTGAAAATTAATTGGAGGAAGTAAGGCCACAAGAAAACTAACATTACTCATCAACAATCTCTAGTAAATGAAATCATTCATCTTCCAAGCACGAATCATCAGCAAGTATCACCATATTGCAGAAAAATTAATTTAGTTTCTATATTCTAAACACGATCTCTTTTTCCTAGATTTCCTATATAGAAGTTAATTTTACTCAAGATTAATAAGTTATAATACCAAGACGAATTACTTTTCAAAACTTGATTTTAATTTGTCTGACCTGTTCTGTGGAATACAGTCACTGTCCTGTCCTCCCGTTGTTCATCGATTTTCTCAAGCAGGCCCAGTAACATCTCCATTGTGAGACTTTGTTGTTACTGTGTTTGGCATATTGAATACGTCACGGGTAGCTTGCCAGGCTTTGTCGTGCAGGCGAGCTACTCTCAGTAGCTTGCCGGGCTCTCCAAGAGGGGCAGAGGATTCGAACTCGGGTTGGTCATGTTGGTTGCGTGCAAGGCAAAACGCCCTCCCCACTGTGCTATCGCTCCAGCCCGTGGAATATAGAATATAGGAAAATTATATCATCCTTACTTTCTAGATTCTCTGTCCACAACAAGGCACTGAACAGAATGGCGAAGACAATAGATTCCACCAAACACAGCACACATCCTAGAAGAAAACAAAAAGTCAGTATTTGAATTCTTGTGTTGAAAATTGAAGGCTACATTATTCTACATTATGCAGCTTATATTTGAAAGTCGGTCTTACAGTAAAAAGGTATATTAATGACTTATTTTCTTATGATACTGAGAGGGAGAGGAGGGAAATGGGTACTCAGGATGAGTGTGGTGCCAGAATTATGTTCATGAGAAACCATTAATAATAGTATTGCAAGCCAAAATTAAGTAAAAATTTTATAGAAGAATCTCTCAAAAGGTAAGTGATATTTTTATACTGCTGAGGCACCACCACTTATAATGTAATCTGGATGATTAGAATTGTGATTAAGCAAAAAAGGTGAATTGGCCACATTATCCTCCCTAAACTATTGTTTACTAAACCTAAAAGGTCCACAGGCTACAAACAGCTTCAAGTGGTGATTTATGAGGACTACTCCCCCCAACTAAAAGGAATGACCATAGTCTTTTTTTTGGGGGGGGAGGGGTGATAACATTACTCATCAACAATTATTGCAGTTTTAAAGTCAGTTTCAAAATATGTTTAAATACAAAAGTAATGAAAAGTATAGGGTGGCATGTCTAAGTGAAACGTTAGGCACAGTTAAGTTGTGACATATTAAAACTAAAAATATAGGTATTATCATTTTGCAGTTATGAGTACATTTTACAAGAGTTAATTGTGCTTTTTTTTTTTGCTTTTTGGGTCACACCCGGTGACGCTCAGGGGTTACTCCTGGCTTTACACTCAGGAATCACTGAGCACCCCCTGGCGGTGCTCGGGGGACCATATGGGATGCTGGGAATCGAACCTGGGTCGGCCGCATGCAAGGCAAACGCCCTACCTGCTGTGCTATTGCTCCAGACCCTGTGCTTATTTTCTTAGTATGTATTACAAACATATTAAATTTAAGGAAAAAAGCAGAAATATATTTCAAGTTAAAGAAAAACAACGTTCACATTAAGATTTATGAATGCCAACAGAATCTCATAATTACTTTTCTAAGAAACTGTATTTGCTAATCTGACCACACAATAGCTTAGAAAAACTAGTAGCAGTGAATCTGACAATTACAAAAATTACAGTAGCTCAAAAAACTACTCTAGGGTTACTTGAAGAAATCATTAATTCAAGATTTTAGCCAGGAACTATGAAAATTGAGCATGGTGCATTCTTTTTCTGCAAGAAACATTATTAAGGATTACTTTCTGGACTAGTATCAAAAGGATACCAAAGCCATTGAAAGGGGATACTGTGCCACCAGCAGGTCAACCCACCAGCAGGGCGAGTACATCAGCAGCCTGATGATGCCTTCTGGCTTCCTGATACCTCCAAATTGCCACTTTGCTTTGGCTGGACCCCAACAACTTGGGGCCAAGTTTACCAAGAAATTAAATGGCCAAAAGTTAGGAACATGGAAGCCCAAACACATACCACCTCCTGCTCAGCTATATAAGCTCATTTATTGGCCTTATTCAGACACCCATAAATAAATCTCAAAAGAGATCAAAAGCCACAGTTAATCTTGGAACTACACATGGCTGAACACACCGGGGTTAATCAAAGGAGAGTGGGTTGGCCTGGTGCTCACCCAAGCAGAGCCCCCAGCAGTCACTGTTTCCACAATCCAAAATCGCCACCATATAACTGGCCTGACTCCACTGTCTCAGGATGGACCTCACCAAGATATAATCTACTGAAAATTTGGGTCTGAGGGTTTTATGATTGTAATCTCCAGAATTTCTTGAAGTTGGTATGGGCTCCCTCCCCTCACTTCCCAATACTCCTGGAAGCACTGGCAGTCACCCCACGAACCAACTCCAGCACCACCATGTAAGCGCTACTACCACCTTGCTTCAGAGATCCATAAATAAATCTTGAAAGAGATCAAAAGCCACAGTTAATCTCAGACCCACGCATGGCTGAACTGACTGGGGTAAATCAAAAGGGGGCAGGTTGGCCTGGTGCCTGCCCAAGCAAAGCCCCCTGCAGCTGCTTCCTTCCACAATCCAAAATCGCTGCCATACCCCCAGCCTGACCCCACCATCTTAGGATGAACCTCACTCACCCAGATATAATCTGCTGAAAATTTGGTTATGCTGGTTTTGTGACTGAAATCTCCAGGCTTTCTCAGGGTTGGGATAGGCTACCTCCACCTACCTCCCTGTACTTCCAGAAGCCCTGGAAGTCATATCCACAGCCCAAAACAGCTACCCTTTGAAAAGCTACTCCAGCCTTACCATCCCGATAAAAATATTGACTGCCCTGAACAAACGCCATGACCTCTTAGCACCTGTATTGCAAACATAATGCACAAAAAGAAAAGGAGAGAGAGAGCAAGAAGTAAAGTACCTTCCAAAGAGGGAGGCTGGGGGTCGGTTGGTGGGGTGATGGGAGATGGTAGTATGGAAACAGGGGACACTGGTGGTGGGAGATGTACAGTGGTGGAGGGATGGGTGCTGGACCATTGTATGACTGAAACCCAATTATGAACAGCTTTTTAATGGTCTATCTCACAGATAATCAATTTAAAAAATTTTAAAAATTAAAAAAGTAATGCGGAGTTCATGCCCAATTCAATTAATAAATGGCTCAATAAATAGCAGTACTCCTACACTTAAAAAAACATAAAAATTATGACTAAAAGCAGAAATTGTGACCACAGATAAGCCTTAAAAATAAGCTGGGAAGACTCTGAGAGAGAACCTTAGTGATTTCTCTTACCTTAAAAGCAAGCAAAAGCGAGTTGTGAATTGAAAATTAGACCAGTAAGCAGACAAGTTAATCCTGCAGAAGCTCCAAGGGGTTTGTTTGCCTACCTTACGAATTTAAGGACTTGCATGTTAATGACCACATCAGGAAAAGAAAGGACTTACAATTGAAATAAGGCAGGGAATAGAAACTGAAAAAGTGTCATAATGTCTGGATCCTTCAAGGACTAAATCTTAGTTAAAGGATAAAGAAGGAGGGAAACACACTACCAGAAAGAGAAAACAAATGAAATTATTCATATCCAAAGCCCTCAGTACAGAGGAATATTATAGTTTCGTTACTTAGAGTCAGCTGTCTGACTTCACACTGTTTGGGTTTTGTTTTTAATTATATCAATACCTTTAACAAATAAAATATACAATGTTTATTGGAGCACACATAAATAAACACAATGGAATACTACACTGCTATAAGAAAAGATGACATGGGAGTCAGAAAGATAGTAGTTTAGTGCATAAGGCACTTGCCTTGCACATGGCCCACCTGGCATCCCATATGGTTCCCCAAGCTTGACAGGAGTGACTCCGAAGTGCAGAGTCAGAAGTAAAGCCTGACCATATCTGGATGTGATCCAAAAACCAAAAGGAAAATATGAAGTCATGCAATTTGCTGCTACATGGTGGAAGGTATTAGAGGGTTTCATGCTGAGTGAAATTAGTAAGTGGGAGAGCAACAAACACAGAAGGTCACTCTCATATGTGAAAAAAGAAACAGTAATGAAAATAAAAACAAATGGCTGATGGCAACAAGCCCTGAGAACTGGCCTACGGAACTGAGTTTACCAGGAGACCAGGGTAGGGAAGGTAGTCAGTATAAAGGGACCTTGAGACAATGGTAGAGGGATGCTGTTACTCTGGTGATAGATATGGTGTTGGAACATTGCAGACATGAAAGTTTATTATTAAGGTCATTGCAAATCACTGTATATAAATAAAAGTTGAAAAAAATGAACATGAAAATTAGTCAAAGCCATTATTACTGCGGTAGACTTGGTAAAATCAATAGTTAAAATGTTCTATAGGGATATGGAACTCAACTCAGGAAGCACACGATTAAGAAAGAGTTCCTATAATATATATAATATATATATAAAATTACTTAAAAGATGAAGAAACAATTATCCTGTGAAAATCAAGCAAGACAAAAAACAGAATTCGACTGCTCAAAACCTTTATGTGGATAGTGTAACTATGAGATTGTAAAATAAGTTTATTCAAAAGGGATAAAGTAAACACATAATAACAATGGCAAGGTTCACAAAGATGACCACAGTAAGGTGAAAATTGCTCCCACCAAAAAAATGTGCATATACTAATCCCTGTAATCTGTGAATATACATATTTTTAACTTTCTTAATTGAACCACAGTGAGACAGACAGTTTCAAAGCTGTTCATGATTGGATTTCAGTCATACAATATTCTGACACCTCTATTTTTACCAAGGTACATTTCCCATCACCAATATCCCATTTCTCTCCCCCCAGTGACTCCCACCTTGCTCCATGCTCCATGGTTGGCTCTATTCCTCTTAATCTGTGAATATATTCCCTTACACAGCAAGTGAAACTTAGCATGTGTGGTGAGATTCTCCTGGGTGTAATTTGATTATAAACATTATTTAAAAAGAAAGCAGAAGACACTGGAACCAGGCAGTTTCATCCTATTTTCCAGTCCACCTCTGACCCCGGAAGTCACACCCTCAACCTGCCCCTGGCACTATATTGCTGCACTCAGCAGTGAAGAATCCTGACTGGTAGGCACCACAACACTGGAGAATGCTCCAGGCCCCAAACTGAGCAGATATCACCGGGGTGCCCCAGACGGAGCAGGTGCAGTCTCTCCACCTTCTCCAGATGGAATTCGAGCGACCATGAGCTTCTACAAGCATGACTCCAGTATGTGGGGACTAGGACTATTTCTCCGAACCGCATGGGGGCACTGGAACCGGGCAGTTCCATCTTAGCTTCCAGTCCACCCGACCCTAGAAGTTAAGCCCTCAACCCGCCCTGGCGCCATCTTGCCACACTCAGCAGTGAAGAATCCTGGTTGGCGGGCACCACAATACGGGAGAATGCTTCGGGCTCCAAACCAAGCCTATATCACGGGGGTGCCCCAGATGGAGCAGGTGCAGTCTCCCTGCCTTCTCCTGATGGAATCCCGGTGATCAGGAGCTTCTACAAGCATGGCTCCGGTATGTGGGGACCAGGACTATTTCTCCG